AAGGGGGAAAGGGGGGGGGGGCAGGAAAGGTTTGGGTTTAACAAAAAAGCTAGCTCTTTAGGAGTTTGTCTACTTGTCATTTTTCAAATATAAACATATCGTGCAGCTTGGAATTGTCTTTGTGTTTAGGTTTGGGTTATGCGTGAGGGAAAGACTGTAGAGGAAAGTCCTAACAAGTTTAGTTATGCAAACCTCTCTGTGTGTACCAACATGTGTACAGTGGCTCTGTGAGTCTACTTGCTTCACAGTGAATGAAGCAAACAGCCTAGTTAGGTGAAACATGGTGTCTCTGCAACACAACAGACCCACATCCACTGTCCAACTCCTGCAGAATGAGCCCTTTGTTTCCCTGCTCGGATTTTCTCCTCTCCAACCCTTCAGTAACCTAAAGAATTTGGCCAAAGAGCATCGTGGAGGTCTATAAATAGAGTGCTAAACAAACAACAATAACAAACTGTGGGCTTTGTTGTGTGACAGGCCTGAAAGCATGGGATTGATGGTATGACGTCTTACTGGGACCGTTGGGACGATGGAGGTGACGTAGCTTCAGCTGCCTTATTCCTCTTAGTGGAGGTACAAAAATGCAGCTCCCTGCTAACCCAAACCGTGGGACCGCTGAGCCCCCGTTGAGCTGACACGAAGTTGGATTGGTTCACGTTAGCTTCCAGGAAAGGGTTTTGCACCAGTAAGACTGCAGTGAATAGTGAATTGAATCCCCATAGAAAACAACATTCCTCCACCCTGCATCTAGAGGAGAAAAAACAGAGTTTGATAGTTAGAGGGAGAGAAGTGGGTTACAACATTGCTGTGTGTGTGTGTGTATGTTATGTAAAGCTTGCCAGTTGACATGACACAGCATGGCACACTCACATACACACACATACACCCCATGGAGTCTCCCTGTACGCAGTTACTGTAGGTTTAGTGTGTATAGATAAGGCGCAAATGAGCCCTCTTTTCTGCATACTTACATAACGCTATACATAACACCAGGCATGTTGGGGAATCTGGGCAGTGTTCCAGGCCTGTCCCCGTGTGTGTGTATGTGTGCGTGTGTGTGTGTGTGTCTGTCTATCTTAGTGAGAACTTTGGATCTGTGCCAGAGATGTCTCAGAGAAAGCAGTCAGCAACGTTTTCCCTTCCATCTCCTTATGCATGAGTGTGTATGTGTTCATGTGCATACACATAAACTGCAGAGCACTAAGAAGCCACAGTCTGCAGACTCAAAGCTCAGCTGAGTTATGACTTTAACCGGTCAGAAGAGTGGAATGAATGAGGTGCTTAACAGATCCTCTCCCCCGAACGTAGGTATTTGTGTCAGCAGTCTGTTCTACAGTTCTTTCTTTCTTTCTTTATGTTCTGAGAGGTCAGTGGCTGCCACATTAATGGGCACCCTCGGTCTTGTGCTTGTGCTTTCGAGGAAGCGTAGCCTTTGATGCTCTGAGAGAAAGTATGTTGAAATGCCTAGATGTTAATGCGGTGGGCTATAGAGTGTAAGAGGAGACGTTTGCCCACGATGAAAGAGATGTCAAGAATAGTCATGACTACCCACAGACAAGAGCAACCCAAGTATGTCAAGCTGATCGACTCCAGGGTCTAAGATTTCCTCTTCAAGTACTGCTGACTCCAAGAACCTTGATATTGGTCCAAACTAATTCATCAAAACTCCAAAATGTAGGACGAGAAACAACTCAAAAGCATAGATGACTCTTCTATTTTTTGCACGTTTTTAAAGCAGACGCATTCTGGACACGACAGAAGGACAGAAATTGAAAGCAAGCAGTTGTCCGACAAGAACAAGCAGGAAGAGACATTGGATAGGAGAGCTAAAGATAGACAGGAAAGGGGGAGAGAGAGAGGGGCTGACAAGTAGCAAAGGGCCACAGGTCAGACTCGAAAACCCATGGCCACTGTAGCAAGGACTCAGC